GTGTTCTGATCAGTCACAGTCGCTCCTGGCGTGTGTCACACAGCTGTGCTGAACCAAAGCAGCTGCTTTGTGCGAGGTCCCTGGTGACACCCAGCTGCACAGGTCGTGGGGGAAAGCCCTTGTGAAGTGCTGGTTTTCACACTGGACTGAGAGGAACCTAAGCTGTATTTACAGAGGTACCTGGATTCCCAGGGGCTTTCACCATTGAGCTGAATCTTTTAACAGTTCTCCTTTGCTTGGGGTAAATGACCTATTTATGTTTCAATGTGTGTTTTATAAAACCTGAAGTATCTGTTCCAGTTTAAAGCAACTTTCAAAAGGCTTTGAATAGTCTAGCCTGTGCATTCATAGCTAGGAAACCTTTCAATTTCCTATTTTCTCCTATCTTCATGGATTTCAGTGAAATTCTTCCAAAGAGCTTAACCCCATGTGTTTAATCTGGTTCAGTTCATATAAACCAAGATTCACCCTCACCTGACATAACTTACACACAAAATATGTAGAGAGCACTGCTGCTGACATCCAGGATGGATGTGTGAAATGTTTTTGAACAGAAGCATCGCTCACCTTTGCTCTCTGACGATCTTCAGAGGGGCTGTTGCAGAGAAACAGATGTGTAGTAGTTCCCAGTAGCAATGGCTCTGTGTGTGCTGAGGCTTCTGGTGAGCCACTGGCAAAAGTTTTAGGAGTCAGCATTGAGGGAAATTGCTGAATGCTCTGAAGGAGGAGGAAGGAGCAGCACTACCTGAAGTGAGGGGAGCCATGGAAACCAGACATTTGGCAGCTTGGGAGCGTGGATGTGGCTGCACCTTAGTCTCTGTCCCATTCCACCTTCAAGCTGACACCAGCTCAGTCTTCACTGCTGAGTACCGAGTCTTACAAGCTGTGATCCATAGTGCTGTGTGTGGATACCAGCTCCTCGCCTCAGCAGAGTTTTGCTGTTCTTTTTAAAACTACATCTGACAGTGACTAGCTACTAAAATCACTAGTATGTGTGTAGAAAAAAAAAAATCTGTTTTTTTATGTTTGTTTTGTTTTTTTAATCACTGGATGGCAACAGTGACAAATCAACTTCTTGTCACCTATAACTTTTCTCTATTACGTTCATGATGGAGACATTTCCCTATAATAAACTTGTAAGTTTTTGAAGAGATAACCTAGTAGTTTAGACTGTAAGCTGAACACTGCTCTGAAGGTGCTAAAATAGCAATGCTGTGGAAGGAAAACAAAATATTTATTATTACAGGTGGCTTGGGAGCATCCATTTGCTCAGCTGGGTGAGATGAGTGGTGGGATATTTCACCTGTCTGCAAGAATTGCCCAACATAAACTGAAGGTCGCTGCTTCATGTTTTTCTTTGGGTTTCTCTTTCAGCTCGAGAGACTTAAGGGAGAATGCAAGTCCAAAAAGACTTCTAAACAACTAAAAGACAGCAGGTTCCCTGTTAGTGAAGTTAAAGTGACAACTACCGTAACCACAAAAGGAAAGGATGCTGGTCCCATCAAAGTGAAACCTGGGGAGAAGAGTCGGAAAAATCTCCAGTTGTTGCGAGACATGCAGACCATACAGACTTCACTGCAGAAAGACGATATCAGCTGGGACTACTGACAGTTCTCCAGGAGATGTTCTTGACACCATCCTGGTCAAACTTTCTCACATTCCAGATATAAAGCAGTTGCCTTTCTTGCTATGTGGAAGAGACTACTGTATGCTAAGTGCACTTTTGAAAGGCGGGCCCTTAATTCTCCATCCCTGGGTGTGATTGTGTGTATTAGGGTCCAGCTTATGCCACATCCCATTTTTAAGGTACCCAGCCACTGCATGTAACCATAGGTGTGCACTGGTTCATGTTATGGTTCCAGCAATCCCACCACCTCTTTCAGCACACCAAGCATCACACCTGTGTGGGTTGGCATGTGTGAAATGCTGGTGAGGCTTCACACCAGTGTTGAACTGTGCATTGGGAGGCTTCTCAAGATGCATCTGGTTTGAAAATGCTGCTGGGACTGTAAGTCTTGAGGTCTTTTGTCACTTCTGTTCTGTGTGCAGCTGCAGTTGCTTAAGACCTGAGTGTCTGTGGTGGTTTGGAGAACAGGTAAATCATTTTAAAAGCGTTTTCTATGGAGCTGTCCTCAAGAAGCTTTCCTAGTTCTTCTGCTGCTACACTGCATTAATGGCAATGGATGTTGGAGTACTCAAAAAAGGAGCAAAGTAACTTTTCCAAATTATTTTGCTTAATGGTTGATTGAAAGAATTATTTTCAAGTCTGAAGAATTAATTTTTTTACAGAAATCCTACTCTGTGCAAAAGCTATAGGATAGAGGATAATATCCTGTCTCCCAGGCCACAGCTTTGGGTGGTAAAGGGGTGAGATAAACCACAAGTGTTTTAAACTGCAAGTGCCTCAATCATGCCGTTCAGTCCCAGCATCTTGCTTTTAACTTGAAATACGTGCTTCAAGCTACCTACTTTAGTAGTGGTGCAATTCATTTGCACTCTGACTTGCACAGCTGAGTAAATGTTATTTATTATGTTAATAATGTAAAGAATTTCCTATTAATGGAATGTATAGAAGACCTAGATTATGTTTATACAGTTGAGAAATAATAAAGCCAGCTTGCCTGTTGAATAAATGGTGGGAAAGCTGCACTTCCTCCAACAACTGTGTGTTTGCTGCAGCTGTGTGCCCCATCCAGCCTGCTTTTTGTGGTGATGTGACAAGCAAGCTGCAGTAAGGTGAGAGTCAGAGTTGTCCACCCTTGGCTGCAGGTGAACAGGCAGGGAACTCTGGGGGGTCAACACAGGCACAAGGGATTTGAGTTTTAAAGATAAACCCTGCATCTGAGGCACAGAAGGTTTTAGCAGGGAGAAGTCAGCAGCTGTTAACCAGGCCTGGAGTTGGAATTAAGCCTACTAGGTGTGAGAGCTTCAAGGAGCAGGCACTGAGCTGATCCCAGATAGTCACAGTGAATCTGGGCTTAACATGAGTTACACAGAAAAATGTGAATCCTCCTTTTACACAGAAGTTACTGTGCTAATGCAAGTGCACAAATGGTTTTGATTTTTTTTTTTTTATTGTGAAAGTATTTTTGTAACATTGAGCAGCTCAGCACTGTATCTGTATCAATACTGGTCTGTACAGGATAAGAGAAACTTGCCTAAAGATGAATTTTGTTTTCTTGTCATTCTAGATTTCAGAGTTTGAACGTTAGTAAGACCACCTGCAGAAGAATGAGAGATTTGGATTCAATGTATTAAGCTTTCAGTGCTGTTTTATTAATGATTGCATGTCCTACACATCGTTTGGAGAACCACATAGTTGAAAATCAAAAGCACAGGAACTTTACCCATTTATCAGTTTTTATTAGTGTTAAGGAAACCAAACAACCTTCATCAAGGAACAAAATATACATACATAGTCAATTTGCTAATAGAGAATAATGCTATGAACCATCTCAGCTAGTGATTGTACGTAACAGCAGCTCTGCCCTTTAACTTTGCAGCAAATCCAAGTCCTTCGGAAGGTGTTTTGTGTGGCTTCTTTGCACTATTGAACCATAACATCTCAGGCCACCCTACAACAGCTGCAGTGATGCTGTACAGCCTGTCACTCCTTCTGTCAGAGGGTGGTGGTGGATTTCTCTGCAAGTGCTGAGCCTCTGATTGCAGCAGAGCAGGCAGAAATGGAGACTGCAGGGGGGAATTACTGCCTCAGGAGGAGGAATGTGGTGCTTGAAAGGCAGCTTCTTATGTGTAAACTGGTCCATGCTTGTACCCTCTCAGAAAATACTTCTCTATCATGGAAGAGAGGCAGTGTGAAGCAGTGTGCTGATGGGTGTATTAAACCAGTGACCACACTGTGGGATCTGATGATAAAAGAGCAACACAGGGACACAGACCAAGCAGTGTTCCTCTTCCTTAGCACGGAGACGAGACCCAGGCTGGAGTAAAGATCCTTCGTGAAGCAGTGTGCTGATGGGTATATTAAACCAGTGACCACACTGTGGGATTTGATGATAAAAGAGCAACACAGGAACAAGACCAAGCAGTGCCCCTCTTCCTTAGCACAGAGACGAGACCCAGGCTGGAGTAAAGATCCTTGGATGTACATCACTTCCTTCACTGTAAGCCCTGTCTTCTGTGACCCCCTACTTACCTGTTTGGAAGAGCAAGGGGGCAGTCATAGTTTCACCAAGTGTGTCTTTTATCTCCATTACTACAATAAAATTTTGTATTAAAATTGATTTTGGACTTAAGTTTAGTCAGGTGACAGTAATTCTTGAAGTATGCTATGAGGAAGGAGACCTAAACACAAGGCTTGGAAACTGGCTAAGCTGTTTAGTTGACCACACTAACCTTAAGTAGCAGTTGCAATGGAGGCAGAAAGGCTTCTTTGGTTGATAGATAGTTGGTTCTGTTAGTTAACAGAAAACTGCAATACCTTGAATACACCACTATGATCCTGCACAGGAGCACTGAAATCACTAATTACACTTACCCAAGCAAAATGAAAGGACTGATCCCAGCAGCTCACACCTGCCCCCTGGTATTCCACTACCCTTCCCCCGATGAGTATGAGGCACTGGAGGACAGAGGTGCTGCAGAAAGCCCAGGGGAGCCACGCTCTGCTTCCCCCCCTCAGAAACAGAGGTGCTGCAGTTGCATCCTTGCACACCCCATGTAAACCATAAGCGAGACTCTAAAGCTGCAGAGATGGCAGTAAACTTTTATCCTACAAAGTCATGTAGGTTGCTCCTCTACCACCGTGGTTTACTGGTAGAAGCTGCCCTTTTCAAATAAGGCATCATTTCCATGGCTTCCTATGATGTAGCAGCTCAAAGTGGAGGGAGAAGTGAGAACAGGGATACGTTGCAGATGCTATCGGTGCTTGTCTCCAAGTACGCTGGCAAATGCTCTCACTAACAGGGCTATGCAGACAGTAATAGCAGAGGGCTTCGAGACGTTACAGCTGGGCTGTATTACGTATTCTGGGCTCCAAGACAAAGTCAGATTCTATATTTCCATTTAGCAAAGGGGAGATTTTTCGAACTTCTAAGGTGTTTTCCTTGAGGAGATGTTTTTCCTTCATGGTATTTCATTCTAGCACACAGTCTCTCTTTAAAGCCAAGCGATTTCCAGCACATAAGTGAACAAAGGGTTTCTTTTAGGTGGCAAGTGCAATTAGCTTGTATTATAATCTAGCCACTGAGAAGGTTAATTGCATAGGGGGCCTTGTTTGTTTGTTTTTGCTTAAGCTTCCTCTAGTGCTACAGTACTAATAAATTACCCTGGAGAGAAATAAATAAATAGATTGGCATCTCCCAGACACCACGCTGGAAATCCAGAGGGTTTCAGAAAAGCTGCCCTGATGGTCCTGGGAAGGTACTTGGCAAAAAAAGTCTGTGTCACACAACTGTCTGTACAGGAGCGACGCACTGTGCGGGAGAGCCGGCTCTCTCCGAGGATGAGGTGGAGCGGTTGGTGATTTCTCTCTGCAGTTCCTCCACTTTCTTCTGCAGCTCGGCCCGCTTGGCAAGAAGCTCCTTGTAGCGACTGTGGACAGGTTCCTGTAAAAAACAAGATGTACCTGAGTGCTGGGAGGCAAGCATGGAAGTGGAAGCCTGAACCAGGGAACGCTGCCGCTGACCTCGCATGCAGCTGTGAGGAAAGGAGGGGAGGCAGGTGGCTGATGTCGCTGCCTCCAGCCCAGGGGTGGGTGGGTGAGTGGTTGCTCTGGCTTTGGGATACTCATCCAACATGCATAGTGCCATGGTGGCTAAACAAAACTTAGTGTATCCTCTGAAAGATGACAGTTACAAAACTAATCTCTGACATTTACGGGGAACACTGGCCTTGGCATCTCAACCTGGACAGAATTTCAGGGCTTTGGAGGGAAAAAAAAAAACAACACAGATTTAGCTAAATATTTTCACATAGTTCTGCCTGTTAAACAGTGACTACTGGAAAGCACGTGTTGGGTTCCTGTATCTAACACCCCAGACGTGCAAAGCTGTGTTATCTGCAGCTGGACACTGGGGCAATGCAGGAATATGTCCCTTCCTATGAAAAAGTGATTCAGCATTTCGGGCCGTGCTCAGACTGCCTGTCTCAGGTGCCTGCCCTGGGTGCACCACTCTCCCCGCTCTCAGTGGTCAAGAGTGTCAGAGGGTCGCACGCAGACCCCCGTGCCTTGGGCAGCCAAAGTGAGCAGCAGGTTCCTGTTACTGGTAATCTAAATAGAGCCCCAAAACTCAGATCCAGAATCCCACATCCAAAGAAGTCTTAGATTTTTAGGCTCTTTTTGTAAAGAAGAGAGAAATCAGATGATTTTGCCCATGTTCTAAGTGAGAAATTTTCCAAGCTGCTGAGTATCTTCAGCTCCTGCAGATTGCACAAGGCAGTGACCTCCAGCTGAGCACCCACACCAGCCAGCTGTAGATGCTGCTCTTTCATTTGCTTACATTTGAATTTTAGCTTTTGGGTTTAGATTTCAGCAGTGGCAGCTCAAGCTTGTACTTTACTTGTTGTGCTTCAAAGGTCCTGAGTTCCAAAATGACAGTATTAGTAGTAGCAGGGAGGGAAATGAAAGCAGGATCCTTGGAGGAGATGTACCTGCGGTTTCATCCTGGGGTTCCAGCGGATGTAGTAGCCGACCCACAGCTCGAGGTGGCGCATACTGGCCACGGGATACAGGACGTGGTTGGAGTAGCTCACATACAGGGGGTTAGTGAAGTCTTCCAGCTGGCTGTTGATGTAAGACCAAAGCGACACGGTCTTTTTTGGAAGGCTCTGTAAGGGAAGGGGGTGGAGGAGGCTTTTATTTCCCGTACAAATCCCAGCATTTATCTTCAAAGTGTATATAACAGCATATACATATGCCTGTCATTAATTTAGAGCTGGTTGTCTTTTTGCAGCTTACAAAAACCCCTCCCTTCTTTTGATGTGGTTTGTAATGGAAGCAGATGGATGCAGGCAGGTACACACGCACCCTGGCAGGGAAACATCCCATCCCCTTACCCACCCTGCTGCCAATACAGACCAGGAATCGCCATGGGCACAGCAAGGGGACACTGGCACGTGAATTCTCAGTGCTTTGGTTAAACTTCACCTCTTTAAAGTGCTCCTGGAGGGCGTGCTGGAGTATTTAATTGAAAATAAAAAAAGAAAACATTTGACTTGAGCCCCGATCTAGTTCAGTAATTAGGCCTGTGAGTAGTCCCAGTGAAACCAGTGAAGTGCCTTCTACATTAAGTACTTGACTAGGCCCTAAAAACAACCCACATGCAAACAGCACCCGGGTTTTCCACTCTGGAAATTACAATTATTCAACCACTGTGGACTCTAAACAGGAACTCTGATTTCACTTCAGGACAATGCTATCACTTCTGTATCACAGTAATTTATTTTTTAATTATTTTTATTTTTTATTTTTCACATCAGGTCCACACAGCACTGTCCTCAACGTCACCTTTTGGTGACAAAAGGTTTCATCTGTAGGTAGGTGAGACACAATGAGTGTCACTGCTTTTCCTTCTGATTCCAGATTGGGTCTGAACAGGGTAGTGCTTGAATGGTCTCCATGTACACATCTATACGCTCCTCCCTGGGCAAACAAGGGCTCTGCCGGGCAGAGCTGGCTGGTGGCAGGACCTAGAGGCATGTCCTTCCTCATACTAGCAGCTCTGTCCTCTCCTAGCATTATGCAAGCACAGCAAGAACAGGCATTGAGACCAGTTACTTGCTGTAACCTGTGTGTGCAGAATGACAATACACACTTGGTAGTTAAAATCAACATTATGGGACCACTGCCAGAAAAAGGGAGGGCAGAAAGGTACCAGTTTCCACAGAGAAGGTGGCATTAAACTGGAATTTGAAGAAAAACTGCATTTCCAACTACTTGGGAGACAACCAGGAGCTACTCAGCCAGCAGTGAGTTGCTGAATGCCATGCTGAAAGCAGTGGGACCATCCAGAGGGCAATGGTATTGCTCTGAAATGTCATCTCCAACAAACATGAGTTTAAACTGTGAAGAAGGGGGCTTGGCGTTACCCAGACCTGTATCTACCACTGTCTGTGTGCTAAGACAATGTCTCTAGCAGCACCTGGCCAGCTACAGCAATCACAGTACCACACCTTCAAAGCTGTCTTACCTCCTTGACTCGCTGCTGCTCACTGCTGCACAGGAAGGTCCCAAACAAACAGCTGTACAGGTGATCCAGGATGGTTATCAGGAAGTACTCGTTGAACTCAAATGCTGTAGGAAACTTCAGACAGAACCAGAAAATTAGGCAGGGATTTTAGAACAGGAATCACAAATAAACTTTCTCCCACTTTGTGGTCTTGGTAGGTAGTTGGCTTTCTCTATTTCTAAACCAGGATTTGTCTCTGTTCTTTGCCTGGGAGAATATTGAGGATCACATTTTCTCCTTCCAGGAGCAAGAGTTTCTCTCTTGAAAAGTTGCTTTACATGTGCAGAGAGAAATTCTGAGCAAAAGCCAAAGGTCTGAAGGGTTTGACTGCTGTGTTTCTACACACTCAGTGCTGCTTCAAGTGGAAGCTTGCTCTGCTATGCCTGCCCCTAATGACAGACCATGCAACAAGACTGCGAAAAAAAGGCTGGAGCATATGTGAAATGATGCATAAAAAGAAATGGAAATTTCCAAGGGACAAATGGAAATAACCTGTGTGCTCAGCAGAGCACTTCCCAGAGGGAACAGCAGGGAGGCACCTTGCAACGCAGGTCAGTGGGAGGAACGGGTGCGTGGGCAGGGGCTGTGTTTGCTGTGGATGTTCCATGCAGAAACAATCAGACCCAAGACAGGGAGAACTGAAGCTCCACAAAGAGTCCGTAAGAATACATGCAGTGTACAGCAAAGACACGCTGGGGCGATGGAGAGGAGAGCGGGAGGCCTTCCTCCCTCACACACCACCCTACTCTTCCCATGCTGCCCCAGCTGCAACATCCTGACCTCGCCAGCTGCAGGTCAGGATGTCTGCTTCTAGGAGCAACCCGAGGATAGCACACTGAAAGTGACTTTTGATGATGCTAAAGCCTCCCTCTTTCTCTACTTGGAGATGGTACAGCTTCACATATAGTTGCATCCTTTTCTATTTCACCTGTTTTAATCCATGATGAGCTTAAATTTTTCAGTGAACTGCCTGACCATTGCTGACATTTGCTGTGTAACACATTTTTGTGTCACAGCAGACACAAAAAACCTTCCAGGTTTCACATACCTGGGGAAAAACCTCCCAACCATAGGGGATCTCTCCTGAACTGTGCCTCTGCCGTGCCTGGTCTGAAGTGAGGAACTCAGCTCTGTATATCACGTATAAATCAGGAGCAGTATGTTTGCCTTCAGAAGTTAAAATGGAGCAAATGCACGTCTTGCTGCAGGCTTGGTTATGGGATCAGTTGAAGCAGAGGCAACAGGGATCTGCCTGCACTGCCCATGTTAGAGGTTTCTATCAGCAGCTCAAGTCACTTATGCCTCTGAAGGCACAGCGGGCTCCTGAGGATGGCTGGGGTCTGTTCCTGCCCATGGCGAGTGTCAGGCAGCTGTCCCCTCTTTCAGAGTGAGGCAAGCTTCTTCTCAGAGCTGATGTTATAACAGCACGTAGGCAAGCAGCACCCAGTAACTAGCTAATCTGATGCACGCTGACATCGCGACCTTCCTGTGCGCTTCCTGTGCATTCAGGTTCTTTGCTAAACAGAATCTCAAGGAAAGAGTAAAAGCCCAGGAAGGAAAACCTGTGCAGGTCAGCTTGGAAATTACTCCTGTGGCCAGACACTGTGCCAGGTTCTTGGTACAGTGGCTTTGTGGACATGTGTGCCGCCCAGCAATTTACCTGTCTTGTCATTTGCCAGACACAGTCGATGAACTGCAGGAAGACAGGAGAGCGATCCGCGTCTGCGTGATTCTTATCTCCATGGCCAACTCTCTGAAACACAGCAGGACAAAGAACGTGAATCGCACAGGGCTTGATGGAGAAACTGCTGTGGTCTCCTCTCAGTCACCTAAGCCTTTACCAACAGCTTTAAGAAGGTTCAAATGACTCCTGATTTTGCTTTGTCCGTATCAGCGGGTAAAGGACAGCTACTCCCTTTGTCTTTGAAGTGAAATTTCTTTATGGGGATATTTTCATGCTAAATTAAAACAAGAGTTGTTCGAGAAGAGGCTCCAGATGCTACGCTGGCACTGATTTCAGTTAATAGCTAAAGTTCAGAAGGAAAAAAAAAAAAGAGAATGGTTTTTGCTTCAGCTGCAGCTGTTGTCCTGGCTACCTCAGTAGTGCAGTGTGCTAGGTCCAGACACTCCCTCCAGGCACAGCGATAACCGTCACACAACACCTCACAGCTTCCAAGCGCTGTACAAACACTAACCCAGCTCATCTCCTGCCACCTCAAGAGAGGCAGTGATGAAATTGTCTCCAGGAATAGGCCTCCAACCCTGACTGGGCTGTGTGGCCTTGGATAAGACATGTGAGGCCTGATTGCATGTAACCAGTATAGTATGTTACTGGTTACATATTACTCAGGAGTGCCAAGGACTGTACAAAGGCAGTACAAGAACATGTAAGCAACAGAGATACAATTCTGTTCTCCCTTCACCAAAGGAAATCATTTAATTATCTTCTTTGTACAGACAAGGAAGCTAAAATAGTCATAAACACCAGGTAACAGTTTTGCTGCAGCAGAACCTCAGTTGCTTAGTGCCTCAGTTTCCCCACCTTCCTCAGAGCACTTGACTATGCAACCCACTGTCACATGTGCTGTAAACAGACCTTGTTCTAGCCCTTGCCAAAATCAAATGACCACAAGAGAAGAGCTATGGACAGTCAGAACAAAGACTGAAAGGATACCATTGAAAGGCTCTCAACTCCCATCAGTGCAAACCATAACAAACTGCTGTGTCACAGGTCCACAAAGCTGTTCTTCTGCCGACTCTCAGCACACAACCATGAGTCATTCTTGGCCCAGTCTCAAACATCATTTCTCTTGCCTAAACAATTAAAGCCTCCCCAAAAGCAGAATGTGAAGTCAAGGCCTTCACCATGTTCCCCAATCTCTTCAATACCAAGGCATTTGCTAGATGACTGTGTCTGAGCAGTCTCAGAAAATGGACTGATCTGGAAAGACAAAAATACCTCTGTGGTCTAGAAATGCCTGTCCCAAACCCAAAGCACACTGTTGGTTTAAGCCTGAGCATGGGAACATGACATATCAGTCATGCACCTGAGAGATTTAATACCACCTGGTCCTCATATCTAACCAAGACTGTCTCCAAGGAGGTTAAGAGATGACTGGAATAGCAGGCAGAAAACAACAGCACAGCATTCACCTTTCTTCTGCGAGTTCAGCTGGGAGACTTCTCACAGGAAAGGCTACACTCCTTTGAAATCCTTCAAGGTGGACAATAACTTTCTGTTCAGTGCCTTCCAAGGGCCAGTGACTCACCAGCTGAAATCTGTGGCCGAAGCTCAGCCACTCCTTCTCCACTAGCACTTCAAAGCCCCTGATAGTTCGGTAGTAGCCATCTAACATGAGCAGAGCGAGAGAGGTGAGCTGGGCTGTCCGGTCCCAGCCATCACTGCAGTGTACAACCACAGATGTCTTCCCCGACTCTACTTTGTCAGCAATCCGAAGGGCTCCAGCAAGAATGAGCTAGGACAAGGAAAGAAAAAAAAAAAAGTTATAAAATCTCTTTGGAACAGAAACTATAAATGAAAAACGGCTGGTGACAACACAGGACAAACCAAGGGCTCTGTCTGCCTCAAGGAGAATGGTAAATCAGTTCCAACTACTTTCTAACTAGCACAGCAAATTGGTGAACACATTTTTTGTTCCAGCAAGATGACAACACATCTAAACTGTAGCACAGGCACAACTCTGGAAGGGCCCCTGCATTAAGCTCAGTCCTTGGACAGACCAAGATTTAAACCCAGGAGCATTCTGTCTCTGAACACAACCATGGCCATCAATTTGCAACTGCCCCTTTCTGCATTAGCAGGCAGACAATGTAAGCTGGGTGTTTGTAGGAAAGAAAGAGCTTAATTTGAAAACCAACATTTGTAGAAGCTGAAGTATTTTGCCCCACTCATTCCAGTTCTGCTTGGATTCCTGAAAGGCTGGTGGGGCACAAACTCCCAACATCTGCAGGTCTGGACCAGGCAGTAATGCCAGGATGTCGAGGATCCCCGAGTCAAGAGCTTGGAAACTCGGGGACTCCTGTGCTCTATCCAGGGCTTTCACAGTTACACGTTACCCAGGAACACACTTCACTTCCAAAACACTGTCTTTCAGTCATTCCACCGCCTCTCTTGTCCCTCTTCCCATCTCCTCAAAATTCTCCATTCCAAGAAACTATGTTTTTAGTTGTTTTTAAACTGCAAACAAAATGTAAGTCTTTAAATTTCTCAGGAACTGAAAATCCAGCACTGGAGTTAGCTCTGGATACATTTCCCAGTGAACAGACTGGTACAGACTTGTGGTTACTCGGTCACTTTCAGTGGGTGCAGACATGCATACCTTGATATGCTCTAGCCAGTGAGTTGACTCTAAATTAGACAGCCAGTGAGTCTCCTCGATATTGGGATATACAATTTCTTTCAGTTTTCTCAGCGATTCTCTCATAACATGAATATTGTGAATGTCCAGGAACACTAACTCTGCGTTCTGATAGGCATCCTCACTCTCATAGCCCCCTCCTTTAGCCTGAAGAACAAAAGCCACATAAAAATCATTAAGCGAAAACATATTTTATCCTATTAATTTGTTCTGAGCAAGTATCAGCCAACAAAATACCACAGTGATTGTGCTACCTAAAAGAGGCAGAAAACACTGGATTTATCTTACAATTGGGAACAAACATGTACACGCACACACTTTGTGTCTCTTTCCTGCAATAGTAATGAATGCTACAATTTTACCAAAGAATATCACATTACAAGCTTTCTTTTTCTCTGTAATTATCATTTATCCCCATTCAAGCTGCTAGCTCACTAGATTCACTATTCTGTCATTTACAAATTTACCATACTATTAAAGAGGAGTATATCCCACACACTAATTGCCTTTCCTAAGCAGTGGGAAAGACAGATTAAAGAAAAAAAAAAAAAATCAGCTTTAGTGCACCAAAGCAGTTCTACCATTAAAACAGGGCTTATAGTGATGGCATGAGACAGAACAGCAAGAAGAACACAGCAACATTCCTAGATGTTAAAGATCCCCAGCTTGTATTTTGAAATTAAAGATCACGATGCCTGATTTTCAGAAGTGCTGAGTAACTCCTGTTCCCATCAGGGTTACCAGGGATGGAGTGCTGGTGCTGCCAGAGGAAGCAGTCTTTCAATCATGTGAAGTGACAAATGGTGATACACAAAGATCCAGGGTGCTAGAGTTTGACCTCAGTACTACTTTGATTTTTTTCCCTTCCAATCTCATTTCAAGTTGTGGATTAATCCAAATGGACCTTTCATAGTCACACTGGTATCTACTGATACCAGTGCAGGTGTTAAAGTCTGTCTAGAGAATCAGGTCATTGCATATGAATCTCTCCATAGTAGAAAAGGAATAATTTGAAGTGGTGGGAAATGTGCTCTAAATGACTACAGTCCCAGCTTTTGACAGAGGAAAAAGCACCTGACCTTATTGGCTACAGCATTCACACTAGGCCTTGCATCAAATATGAAGATTTTATGGGACTGAGCATTAGAATCCATGATGGCTTGAAGGTACTTTTCATCTTCCTTGCTTCGTTTGCCACTCACTCCCACCATTGGCTGGCTACAGCGAGTGATTGTTGCTTGACTTTCTGGGTGAATCCATGACAACACCTTCAGAAACAAATGAGAAAGAAATTAAGGAAAAATGGGATTCATTAAACCAGTGAAGTGTTTTACCTGTAATGGTTTGTGCTGGGATCCTGCCACGTTATTAGGTGGTTCCAGAAGGCTGGATTCTATTAAATCACAACTGAAAGAAAGAACTCTTCTGTCCTTACTCATTCATTCTAGTGTCTTTCCCAAAGTTTGAACAAATAAAGAGGTGACTGAATAAGTTTAAGTCTGACTTTTAAATATGATGCAGACTGTTTACTCACTGTTGTGTGAGTCGCAAACCCACTTTCTCGCTCTGTAGTCATTGGACTATGTCTTGCTCTACATTACACCAAGTAAAAGTTAAGCACTTTAGGAACAGATTTAATTTCCTATAGGCTTGAGAAGTAGAACAGGACATTTTCAGTTAGTGCTGAAATAATCATAAGGATGTGTTTTGTCTTAATTCCATTTAATAAGCATTTTCATCAAGAGTATCACTAAGTATTCCTCTATCCTGAAAGTCAGAGCAGGCCAGACAATCGTAAACAACCAAATGGGGCTGCTCTGTGTTTCCCAGGAACTGAACTGAGACTCAGCCTGGACTGTGCTCTTATCTTATCTTCTCATTTTGGTTTAGTCTACATCTCTTTCACAACAGTAGTTACAAGAGGTAATGTTGCTTTCTAACTCCTCTAACATGTTGCTGTCACTTTTATTATCCACTGACCATTTATTTACTCCGTGGAATTTACTCAGCCTGATCTTAGTATTATTTATGGTCCAAAGGTATGTTACACCACCACATGAAAGTGGCTTCTTTTGTCACACTCACTGGTATGCGTCCTCTTGATCTGAAAGATGCTACCCTCTTTAATTCTTCATCAGGAATGTTTACGGGCACAGCTAGAATAGCAGGGTATGTATCACACAGCTCATAGCGCTCATTAATCTTTGTCAACCTCCAGCTTTCATTGGGAATTCCCTAAAGAGGAAACAACAGCAGGTTAGCAAATGAGTTGCTCTGAGACCTCAGCACAGTCAAATCCCCAGACCTGAAATTCAAGGCAACTTTTGTTAATGAAGGACATTTAGGGCTGGAGCCTGGGACTGCATTATCTAGGTAACTTGCATTTCATGCCTCTTTCCCAGAGAGGTAGATGTTTTGCTCAGGTCACTGAAGAACAGGAAAACTAGAAGACTGCAGATAAGCTCATCTATGGCAAAGGAACTGTGGAGGCTACAGATGTGGCAACACAGGTGATCCCTCTGAGAGCATCTTTAACGTACCTCCTGGTCTCGTGACGGTGCTTATAGGAGAACCAGGAGCAGGACAGAATGGGTGACCAACAGTCCCCACTCCTCTCTCAGCACTTAGCTCAAATGTAGTGGGTGGAAACTGGGGACAGGAAGTGGAGTTACCAGACAGGATGGACGGGAAGACAGAAAGGAGAACAGACATTAAAACACCCCCCAAAAAAATCAATCTGTTTTGGGTCTTCAGTGTTTGTGGCACAGCTGTGCAATCCCCTATAAACACAAGAAACCTAATAACTGTACGTCTCGCTGTGTGACTGTGTGGGATCTGGACAGTGACGTGTGAGTCCCAAGTTCCTCTCAGACTAAGCTCTCTGGTTGTACTTGGGCTGGGAAAGCAGAGAATCTACACACGCACAGCACTGAGCTCAGCGTGCCCTGATGGGGAAGCAACTCAACAGCTTCCCCAGACGATAACCTCCAGGGAACACCTAAAGCACAACAGGGGGGATGATCTTGACAACCTGCAGACTTAGTCTGGCCGATGCTGGGAGTTAAAAGATCAAACCGGTGTGGCTGCTACTGCGTGTCTGCAAGGCAAGATTTAAACAGAAACACGCTGCAGCAAGAGTGAGCACTGACACAAAGCATCTCTGTGGGGAAGGCAGATCTACTACAGTGAACATGGCCAGACTGTTAAGCACAGGGTCTGTTTTAGTGGAACATCAGCTCTTAAAACAATACATGCTTCTGTTCTAATAAACAGTACTTCATTTTAAGGAGGGTGGTGGGACACTGATTACCACTGTCGCGGCTCCCACAGGAAATAAATGACCAATCTAACACAAGTCAGACGAGCTGTGGTAATTATGGTTGACCCACACAGACTGCAGCCGGTTTCCCATCAGAGCAGTGAGTCATGCTATCAAAACAGATCATGGTTAGAAATCTGAGGAGTGGACAGACCTTCTGTCTAATTCCGGTCACACCCTGCTTGTGAAGGACTCCTGGTCCTGAGGCCCTCCCTGGGGAGGAAATGTTACTACAAAGAATCAGCAGAGCTACCACTATCCCAAAACCCTGAAGGAACGCTATTTTTGGCACTGCCTGAAACCACAGAAGTGGCAGAAACAGGCATCACACACATTCCAAGCTTACTGATGGGTCAAACATGCTCAGAGGTCTACCTGCTGTACTCAGTAAGGATGGAACCTCCTGGGTCCACCAGCTCTGCTGTCAACCAGGGAACAGCAAGACACTTGCTCTTAGCTGTCCATCAGCTGTGATCAAGCTGGTTACTATCTGGAAGTGAACTAATGGCAAATAACTAAGCTGTTCTCAGTCCTGTCCTAGTAAGTACATGGTTGCACTGCAATGGATCCATCAGCAACACCTGGAGATGTCACCTCCCCCAAACTGGAACTGAAGCTACGCTGTTGGCACACTCTTGGCAAGGAAAACAGGAGGTGACAAGCAGTTACATGGAAGAAAAGCTCCTTTTCATTCTACCCTGCAACTCTACCAGTGCTCACTGAGAAGATCAAGCAGTCACTGGCACTATAAAGCACCTTCTCCACAGTGCTGGGCAGAACGGCTTCAGCACATGCTGCTCGGTCCAGCACTGACATCTCCAAAGCTCTACATCCTTCGGCTGCCACCCTGACAAATTTGAATGAAATCTTTCCTCTACAATAATCCCAGACTAGGAAAATCCATGACAATCACCCAAAGAAAGAAATCATGCTGCATGTCAGTGTCCAGATTTCCTCTGTGTCACAAGGAATGTCTGCTGTCCCCTGGTACGGGAGCCTTGAATCACAGCACCGCCCAAACAGGGCTTTGGATCCACATTGTGACTTTCTCTATGGACTCAAAGCAAGCAGAAGGAAGCAAAGCAGACTAGAAGAGGAGCTGAATTTGCATCTTCCCAGGACGTTTGCCATGATGCAGTGTAGCTTGTGCATTTATTCATGCTCCTTGACTCCAGCACTTTCTCCAGCTGGAACCAACAGAAAAAGCTAAACGTGATATAAAGCACATTGGTATTTCCTCATGTAAGATGCATTTCACTGCTTCCTGGAAAGTTGTAAGCACCCAAAAGCCTACTATCAAACCAACCCAAACTGTAACAGACGTAACTCAAGAAGCTTCACCAGGCTTAGGACCAGCTCTGGAACCACCTGCCTGTGCACCTGCAGGAGGAACCCACCCAGGCATACCTCAAACAGCACATGTGACTGTTCCAAAGCTGCTAGGGAACATGGCTGATGGGTGCCCACGTTAGTGACCAGAGCTTGCTGCCCTGACTGGTGCACAAGGTCTATCTTCTCCAGGTAAACTAACACCGCTGCTTTTAGGAGAACTCATGTTCAGTTGCTTCCAGAGGACAAAGCATGGAAAGCAACATGGCCACATCTGTAATTGTAAATTAAGAGTGCTCATGACTGTTCTCACTGAGACCAGCTGGCACACTGCACCTCACATCCACACTATTAAACTCTTCTATCCTCAAAGTGGCATTTTGTCCAAACTGCCTACTGGTCCTTGGCTTGTGTCAGCCTCTGAAATGTGTCCAAGCTTGGGAGCAGTTTGGCTAGCTGGCCTTGCAGCCCTCTTTCATCTCTCCTCCACAAGGGCCTGGCTGTCTCTTCCAGGTCCCAGCTCTGATGTGGCCCAGCTGCACAACCACAGCTCAGACTGCCAAGGGCACTGCAAAGCCATGTGAAAGAGCCACCTGAACATCTATAGAAAGGCACGAAATGTAAAACTGCAGATGGAGGAAGAGGACTGTTGAGATGGGGATTGCTCAGAGCTCAAGGTTTCAAGAGGGAAAACAACATCATGAAATGGTATAAAATCCAAAAGGAAAAACTGTGAGTTTAAGCAGGCAGTCACTGGGTGAAGGCCAACAGCTGGGTCATCTGTGTGCTGGTATCAACATTACTGGTGGAAGATGGCAATAACAGCCCAACTGAGAGAGGTGCAGAGGCTGACCCTTCTCCTCTCACTGGTACCTGCCTAGCCAAGAAAGTCTCTTCAGATGCTGTCTCTGAGGTGATGAGTACTAACACTCAGCCTAGAAGCGAGTTAAATCTCAGCCATCAAAAAATTGTGTGTTAGCCAGTAAATAATTGCTTCATACTCTCAATCTGCATGCATCTAGCTGGAAGAGTATCTTCATGCATGGCTAAGGGTGCTCAAACACACTGACTCAAAAGAGGGACGGTAACAGCCTGGACTGAAGCTCTGCCTGGAACTTGCAATGAAGGCCCCTCAGTGCTTGGAACACTCCTTATGATCGTATCATCTAACCATAGAGACGCAGCCTTTGTGTCATGTCCACACACAAACCAGACTTGGTTTCCCTCTGGGTAGTCATTCATGTCTTACTTTAATGACCAGTACCCAGTTATCACTTGACCTACACATGTTGTAGAAGATGGAGTTTCTTTGTTTGCAGGGAAAAACTGTTGAAGACACATCAACATGGCACTGAAACCAGCACCTTGCAAAGCACATGTTTAAGCTTAAGCACATGAGGATCTTTCACTGACAGGAAAAAAGTAATCTCCTTGCTGGAATTGCACACAGTCACATATCCTGACTGGACCCAGTAGACCGATTCTGAGCTTAGCCGCATGGACAAGGCAGGGAGGGTCCTGGGTTTCACACCAGCAGTGCCTCTCTCAAACTTGGTTTGAGCTGTGAGATACCAAGAGGCACATGAGCTCAGACACATCCCTACACACAGGATACAGCTGCCAGAGCCAAGCTGGTCCCTCTGCCGTGTACTCAGCTCAGACTGTCTCCATTTAGCACAAGAGAGCTGTGACTCATTGTGCAGTAGAGCCATACCTAGCACAAACAGGATCTCAGGTAAACCATGGGGCATTTGACAATTCAATTCTCATTTTCCTCAAACATTCATACACAGGATGCTGTTCTCATGCTCTACCTTTCCCACTCTGGTTGTATACTAATGCTGGGCACTTCTGTCCTCAAAACAGGTCAGCTCCTCTTCTGAATTCTTAATTTCTGTATGTTTTCTCTGAAAGCAGCAACCACAGCCCTGCACTGTGGCTCCCTGGTACACAGGACCAGAGCACAGGATTAGACAAGCACGACTTCTGTAAGGAAACATCACACATTTCCAGCTTCACAACCCCTTGTAATATTTTCCAAATGCTCCCCACCTTGTTAAGGAAAATGAAAGCTTTAAGTTACTCCAAAGGCATCTCAAGGCCTTTTGGTTTCAACTGAGTCTTATTCACTTTGCAATTCTGTTTTATATTCTGCCAGCCCGCGCGTAATAAAAATCAGGGAGCAATTTCAGTTTTAAATTTCATTTGCCACATGTGATTCCATTTACCAACTAAATCCCAAGCCCCTCTGAGTTCCTTTTGTTCTCTACAGGTTGTTTATTACTCCCCATAGTTTTACACAATCACAGATTTTTAATAAGTTACATATTTCCATCTTTCCCAAGAACACTAACAGAGAAGTCAGGGCTTTTCTGAATATCTTTCCTAATTGCTACAACCTCTATCATATCAACACACTTTTATTAATCTGGAAAAAAAAAAATCATACCACATGTAAACTTGCCATGTCTACCAGTGTAGACACAGATCTTACCATGGATCCTACTCCAGAATCTAGTCTTTTCTAGATGCCTGGTAGTTGGCATCTACTTCTGCTTTACTCCCTTTTCTCTGTGTCCATGCTGCCACAGGGAAATAACTGACCTGGCCTAAGATATACCAAGTTAATGCCTGGCCATTACTGCTGGGCTGCTTATACCCTAGGCCAGCTCTTCTCTAATAGTTTATAAACCAATTCTACAAGGTCCTGCAGAGAGTCTGTATGTCCTGCTTTTCTATTTCAGGTCACAATTCATACAGTCAGAGACAGGTAATCCTATTATCTGATTTGATGATGCCAGTTTTGTTTCACTGTTAACAAATCCCTGCTGCCATTTCAGGACATAATCCTGATCTACTGTAGTATTTGTTATTGCTTTAATAGAACCTGGTTGGAGTAAGAAAAAAGGCTAAGACATTCACACAGATAAACTGAACATCCATAGTTATAAATGCTGAAATTAAATAAACAGACTGAAATACCTACAAGTTTTGGAGGGGACATAAAAGCTTCATACTGCAAGACTTAAATCAACTCTAACGAAAGGGATGAAATTCTTCTCCTGGCCAGATCACAACATAAACATCTACTGTAGTACAGTTTGCCTCTTCTTCAGCAGCTGGTGTTGGTCACTTTTGGAGATAAGCTACTGGAACAGATGGATTGCGTGATCTGGAATGGTAACGACTGTGGCCCATCATGGCTAAAATTCAGATAGGCCACGGATGCAAAAAATCCTGTTTGGATCCTTTTTTGCAGTTATCAATGTAAGCAAATGACTGAGGGCTTCAGCATATGGACATCAGTTTGATTTCTTGTCATAAAAGCAGTCAGGCTAAGTTTTTCCTGTCCACTCAGAAATTATACAAAGCAGGTCATAACAGAAGAAGTACATGCTGCAGCCATGTCCTGGTTGTGACGTGCTTTATACACAGTGCTATCTCATGTGGCCAGAAACAAAGGCACCATGGCCCAGAGTCCCATTTTCTTTACAGAAAGGCCATGAAGAGCTGCAAATCACATTCATGTAAATATATATATCTCTCTATACATATATATATATCCTTTCACTGTCTAACCAAGCTCCTGCCAAATTTAAGGTACAGCCAATCACAATATAAAAACTAATATGGATAGAAAAGCTTGTATTCTAAAAACAGACATGCCAGGATTAAGAAATGGGAATAATTTACCTTCAAATTCTCAAGGATCACCCTTCCTTATTTCCAGGTATTGTAAGAATGTCTTTAGTCCTTCATCTGCTTTAACTGAAGCTTGGCTAAGTGAATGCTGCGCTTTTCAATGGAGATTATTTTGTTAGCACAGGTATTCTTTAGTCTTTACTCCAAAGTTCTCAGTCCTCTATAGAAGAATCCTTCCCATACAGCTTGGGCTGTAGATCCATCTCTTTATAGACAGATCTTTCCTTAAAATAACTACCAAGAAAGAGGTAAATTCTAAGCAAAGCAATTATCACTGCCTTATCTGGTCTTATTTGTCAAACTCAACCTTAGATACAATGTCTGTCATTGATTACAAATGAGTGGAGTTTGTTTCTACTAGGATTTTATATTGTGGTATCTCACTGCAAACATGCTTTTTTGCAATGAAGACAGTGGAGGTAAAATACATCTCACTTTCAATTAGCAGCCTCAGAGCCAGCGATCTATCTTAGGCAGCTATTTTAGGAGGGGACAAATCACCCCCAACAGTGAAGCTCTCTCTCCCCATCTGTTAATGACAAGCCTAGATAACCAATTTAGAAGGCATGCTTGACTTTTAGAAGACTAAAGCTAGGAAAATTAATCCCTTCCTTGGGTTTTGATGTCAGGAATCAGACGAACTAGGCTAGGATAGACATTTTATTTTGCTTTATGGATCCAAATAAATCTTTAAATTTAAATCTGTAAATTTCTTAATTTTACAAAGGAAAATTGGTTTTATCCTGGCAGGTCTGAATGAGACAAAAGTTTACTCTGTCCAGGGCAAAACTGCCACCAAATTGTGCTGCCTCCTCAACTTAAGAATTTTATGACAAAAGTGATTTAATTGTAAAAGCCAAAATTCTCCCATCATTTCCCCCAGGGAGGACCACTCAAATTTTTATCACAGTATTCCTAATTGACAGCCTACCACTTCACAATCATCAACACCTTTGACCAGTCTACCCTGGACAAACTACAACTGTCTGTTCCAAGCTACGGTTAATCACAACACTCTCTAGGTTGATCCCTATGCTGATTCCCCAGGAAAATGAAGCTATTCTACATTTAATTTTTTTTTTTTCCTTCCAAGTTCCTGTTTGAGATACCTTACAGAAAACTGGAAAGACTTAAAACTAACATAAGCAAGAGCTGAGGCTGGGATGTCTGTACCCACAAAATGCATCCTCTGTTCCTCATTGCCAGCAGTAGCTGATGACTAAGCCAGAGTAATAGTTTTTTCTACCAAAGCCTAAAGTCAGGTCTTTGCAGCCTGAGTCATCTCCATCAGTGGATGCTACTATCTCTAAAGCTGTACTGCCATCATCAGTCACTGCAGCGTGGAGAACAATGTCCTAACCCAGCCTGCATGACATTTGTCAGCAGGATCATCTTCTGTTCCAGGCAACCTGTATATTTCTGCACAGAGCCTCACTTCTGAAGAGCAGAGAGGATGAGGAAGGACATGGCACAATACCCACCTGTCTTCTGTACTCCCAAGTGGGGTCATACACCTTCCATCCATTTTCTGGGAAAACTTCTTTGTACTCAAATGCAAAAAGTGGCTGAAAGAAAGAAAATTTACCATTAAGAGCTCTCTCAGAGACCATTTCCAGGATGTTTCATATCTCAAATAATAACTTATGACTGATCCTTCTTTTTTTCCCCACTGCACTACTTTTCTTTTAGGGATTTGTGCAATGATGCTCACTGTAGAAGTAATTAGTGCAACAATGTACTTCCCTCTATACCCCTGACCTTGCTTGTCTACTACCTAGTACTTCATGGAAAAAAGGAGTTTATTGTTAAAGAGAGAAAGATAAGACTACTTGGCCAAGAACACTCATATATTAAGAACTAGATCCTTTCAACCAGTATTTGAAGCAACAATTGCAGGTGCAGAGACAGAGCAGATGAACTGCATTCCAGATGTGGAGCAGTGCAGTCACCATTAGCTGTAAGCCTCTGACAGATATCACCATGCTTTGAATACTTCCCCTCTGTTACAAGGATGTATCAGTAAGTCATCCTCCATGCATGAAGGAATCCAGACCCATGGCAGGAGACTTTTCCTGTTTTCTATACAATCTAAACTCTTACAGAATTAATTCTAAATTTAAAAACCAGCATTTCCCCTCCTCCAACAAAACGTACCCCATGTGAGCATTGTACCAAGTAGAAGGGACTGAACAAAACAGCATACTGCCACTCTGTGTCTTTTGGTAAAAACTGAAGGGGAAATACTTACCAGATTATTTGAAACTGGGAAAGCATATTTCATTAGGTTCTCAAATATGGATCGTCTCGTCCTCCCTTCAGGCTTATGAGCAAACCGCAAGTTTCGAATATCCTAAGAAAAAAAGAGGGAAATCAAACTGCAGATTTCTGAATCACTTCAAAATCCAAAGAAAATCTGAAAGCCAGCATTTAAAAATAGGGTCACATCACGATGCTCTTTCGAGTACTGATTTAATGTCATACTTTGAACACTATTGTACTGCAACTCTGGGTTTGGTTCAGTGGTCTGCAGCCTCTAACAAAGCCAGCCACAACAGCAGAGGAACAGAGGGAGAGCACAGGGACACCTCATCACAGCATCTTGCCTTCATGTCGAAGCTCTCTACCTGCTGAAAGCCTACGGAAGAGCCTCGCTCAGGGAAGGGACAAGCTACCACTGACCAGCAGGACTTTGTGGGACAGATCTAGCTCTTACTGAGCTCTCAGGCTGAGCTGTGCCAGAAGACAGCTGGAAGGGACTGCCTCACAAAGTACCTCCCACAGAGCTAATGCACATAGGGAGCCCAAATCCAGCCAGTTTAGGTGCAAAGCAACTAATGCCATCACCTCTTCAAAGCTTCCCTCTTTCAGAGCACTGGAGAGTTTGACTGAAACTGACAGCTCCTCCGCTTTGCACAGTGGCAGTTTCCACTAAGACCTCCCAAGACCTCCTCTCCCTACCCATCTACAAAATCAAATTCAGAAACTAAATAAAAGCATCTCTAAGATGCCAAGATCTTCCTGCCAAGCCTACAACTCAAACACTTGTAGTAAACAATTAAAAAGCCACCAGCAGGAAATGAGCAACCAAGTTCAAGCATATGAAGATGGTGCAGCAAGTCAGAGAATGAGATAAACAGCTAAAGACTTAGTTGTCTCACAAGACTGACATTAGGTAATTGGTCTCAGACAGAACATTCCAGGATGCATAAGCTGTATCTGTACTACATTATTGCTCCAAACTGCTCTGTATATCCTGAGCCAAGCAGGCTGGTATATAAATATATATATATACACACACACACACATATGTATACAGATACATATACACACACATATATTTACACACACACACATATACATACATGCTGTATAGGGCCAAGATACCTATTGTATAGTTTGTGTCTGGGTTTCTCACCCAGGGAAACAATGTAGTTCATTCCAAACCTGACCATGTGTGCAAATTTGCATATAGGCAAAATAGGTGAGGACTAGGACCAGATAAGAACAGGGAACAAATTATCTTGCCAGCACAAGCACCCCTGCGTTAGCCATGGAGGATCATGACAGCAATTGGATGAGGGAGCAGCTGGGTGATTTGGTATAGAGATGATATCAACTGCTCTTGACCAAGCACACCCACAGCTTGAGAGTCTGCTTAGCCTCCTCCTGCCTCAAAATCACAGCAGCGAGCAGAGCAGTTTGGGACTCATTTTCATTCCTCCATCTGCCCTTATCCAGCAAGTAGCACCCTTTCAGCCTTGAGAGGGCTCTGACAAGAGCTCCAAGCAGCCCAAGACTCAGAATCCAGCTCCCCTGACATGCCCACCAAGGAAAACAGCGGGGCCATGCCTTGGTGAACTGCGGAGGTATGGATCTAGATGATGGTGGCTTTATCTACTTTGTGGGTCAATAGTACATAGACATGAGGAGGTGATCCGTTAATTTTTATTGAAGTTTGCATTTCCAGTGATTCCAGTGCCTCAAGAGGCATCATTCCAGTCAATGAACTTGTGTCAAAGATTGCTTGCAAGGACGGTCACAAGATCAACAGGGTCCCGGTGACTGCTCACCTCTGCGTCACCGAGGAACTGACACGCCCTCATCCCTCCTCACCACAGGAGCCACGGTGGTGACTATTCTTGCAGCCCTCTCCTGACTGCTTGCTTGATTGCCATCTTTCATCCCATCCTGTCGCTATTCTCTTTATTACTTTTTCTTTTTGTAATGGAAGGTGTTCTGGGTGTGTAGCATTTGACCTTGTCTGTGTCTTAATTTCACCCTTGGGATCATATCAAAACCTTCCCCAACATCGGATCGGGACAGGTACTGCCTTGAGAAATGACACAAGAGCCTTGAGGAGGACTGAAGGCTACTTGCCAGTCCCTTACCACAAAGCACAGCAGCAGGTGGACATAAATTAACAATTCAGGGGGAAACGTGCCCCTTTCTTGCTCTTGAGATGCAAGTGAGTGAAAAGCATCCTGTACTCCATGACTGGAGTCTTCCTGGGATAGGCTGGTGGGCAACCCTGAGAACTGCATTAGTAGGATGCAGGCCTAGGTTTCCACTATGAAGAAAAGATACTACCTAGCACAAAGCCTGAATAAAGGTTTGGATCTCATCTTGAATGAGTGGAGCTGGAGAATCCTGAAAATCACTTTTAAAAGTAAATTACTGTGAAGTCACACTGACTGAAATGTTTTGAAGAACTTCCTACAGTACTGTAGAGAAATCTTTTAAAATATATGTTCCCCTTCCCCTATTGTAAAACACGGATAAAAGTTTACCTTGCATACAATCTCCAGCCCGTATGAATTCTCACCACGACTGGACGCACCTCCAATTTTCTCCACTCTGTTGATTACACCTAAAGATGCATCTAGGACAAAAGGAGGGTCCTGTAGACAGTTGAAATTTGTGAGTTTAAAAAGGGGAGGGGGAAAAGTACCCAGCTCCTGCTCCCTTATGCCTGAATTCCCAAACATATAGCTACTATTCATACAGAATTAACTCTCAAAGAACATCTAGGTCTAAAGATTGAATAATCAACAAAAGCAGATGGTTTCAAAAGCTTACCCGTTCCATGCTTTTAAAATACAGTCTATAATTGGTAACGGTAAGGGTTCCTCTGATTGCTCCAGTGAAGGGGCAGATGTAAGTAACATCCTTAGCTTAAAACAAGAAAAAAAAAAGTTGTTAACTTATAGGAGTAAAATTATGATAGCAACGATATCTGGGGGCTCTACTTTTCAGATAATGGAGTGAATACCAGCTTAATCTGGGGTTCTAGCCTAGAGCTAACATGCAAGCTTCAGTTCTGTGGAGAAGGTAAGAGCTTAGGTATAAATTAATCTCCAGGCAAGTACCATCACCTAGAACCTTATATTTGCACAGAACTGATATCCCTACTAAAAAGGCAGCATTCTGCTGCAAACTGTCTGCTCTTACTGAGCAATGCATTGTCAGTAGCTGAGACCATCATGCACAAAAAGAGGAGATGATTGCTGCCTGGATGCATACACATGAAGCTGACAACAATCTGCAAAGGATTGCCAGCAAGCTGGTTTATGCCACCAAGGACAGGAGAAGGCAGGTCTCCTACATGTGGCCTTTAGGATGCTTGGGTTCTTCTGCACACGGTTGCACGCAGGGATGCTCTGGGATGAAGGCCCTCATGCTAAAAGCCAGTGGAGCTACAGTGATTTCCAGCAGCCAGGAATCTGTACAGCACCCAACTGCCAGTGATTTTAAGTCTGAAGTCAGCGATCAAGTTACTCTGCAACAATTCAATTATTTTTGAGCCTGAGTGATGGTGACTCAAAACAGTCCCCTTCTTAAAAAACCTCAAACGTTTCTCACTTGTTCCAGCAAAAGGCAAGAGCTGCTGCTGGTTTTCCACAGCAAACACCTCCTCTAACTGCCTTTCTGTTTTCTATCAATTAAAAATGCCAACATTTAAGTTGTTCCCTCCCACCCTGCTGCTCAGCAGTGACCCATCACATCTTCTGCCACTGAAGCAGTTGGCTGGCTGTGCTGTGGCAATGATTTATGCTGTCACCAACAAGTAATGACACCCCTCAAACACACAGAGATCCTTGCAGAAGGAGACCCACTGTCCAGAGCTGCCAGATCCATGAAAGAACCCTCTGGACCATCTTAATAACCTCAAGCCTTCAAACTCTAGGGGATCCATTTTGCAAGGGCTGTGAGAAGCCAGAAGGACAGATGGCCTCCCAGCCAGGTGACAGCCACCACGCACAAGAGGTGCAAGGCTGTTGGGGTGTCAGGATGGGGACCTGAATTTCTTCTACCTTTATCCCATGAGATTTAGCCTGGAGGGAGGGAGAAAGAGAGACTGCCTTACTCCACAGTCCTGGCAACTCATATAACTAAGTCATCCTCATGTCAGCTCTGCTTCTGCATAGTCTTCACTGACTTTTGAGATCTGGATATGGAGAAGGATCCTTAAAAAATGAGGAGTAGCTAATCCAGAGAAAAATACATAACACAGTTTTGGTTAAAAATAAATAATTTTTTAAAAAATAAATGTACACATGCTAGCAATTTTATTTGTTTATTTATTTGTACATGCGTGCGTTGGAAGGGCAATTAAACACGAAATGCTTCTAGCCAGTTCTAATTAAACCAAGTGTTTAATTATTGGCCTACTATTAATCACTGCTTTTCAAAGACTAGTTGACAGAGGTTTGAAAGCAAACTCATGAAGCACAATAAGGGTGAGGGCAGCCTGCCTGGTTTTTCCACTAAAGTTCCCATTATTCAAAATGTAATTTCAAAATGTTTAAAGAAAAACAAAACAAAATCTACTAACAAGAGGAGTGTGCATTTACATCTGAAAAGGAACAGGATTTCTAGATAAAGAGGAAGGTGCTAGAAAAATGTTTTCCAGGCAAGGAATCCCAGGTATGATCTCAAACGCTGGCCTTGCCATCCTGTAAACCACATCGCCCTTCACATTTGCATTTTATTAGCTTGGTTTCCTACGGAAACAATTTTACTTAATTACACTGCACATGAACACATGTACCTACACACATGGCTTCTCTGACCTTAACCCTACCACAGTTGTATGATTTCAGCAGTCTCTACCTGATAAACAGGGAACTCCAAGGCATTAAGATCCTTCACTGTTTGTGATGCCAGGTATAGAGAGGTTACACTAGTGCTGCTACCAAGGGAAAGTCTAATAAGCTCAGCCTCTGGGAGCTATAAGAAAATCCATGTGGGAGAAAGATACTGGAAACCAGGATTTATTAATTCCCCTGCTTATGGAATTCCTGTCTTTTATAGAGCCAATCTTACCCTAGATTATTGGGTTGGCTGAAATAATTTTTCTTTCCCTCCCTCTAAAATACAAAGATAATTATATTTGCCTTTCTTGACACTTTTAACATGAAATAATTATTGCTGATGAATAATAAAGATTTCCTTTTTGCTACCTTTAACTTCTTGCTGGACCAGGCAGCTGCTTTCTGGCCCCCTCTGAAAGCCACCCAGCCTTATAGACTTATGTGGCTCATCACATCATTTGCTAACAGAAAAAAAATTTAAAACTCTCATCTCTCAAACCATTCCCCAGGAACTCTTCAAAAGACAGTCTTGCTCTCAGAGCTAACTGTGCCTGTGGAGTGAGTTAGATGTCAGACTGCAGCGCGTGGCTGGAGTGTGAGTTCACAGTGCCTAGGAAAGGAGTAGAGAAAACGACTGAGCATTGAGGTGGGATTTTTGTTTGGTTTAGTTGGGGGGGGGGTTGTTGTTGTGTGGGTTTTTTAAAATAGGGTGTTGGGGTTTTTTTAAGACTGAAGTGCAGAGAAGGACCTGGGAGTCCTGGTGGACAACAAGTTAAATATGAGCCAGCAGTGTGCTCTTGTGGCCAGGAAGGCCAATGGTATCCTGGGTTGTATTAGGAAGTGTTGCCAGCAGGTCGAGAGAGGTGATCCTCCCCCTCTACTCAGCCCTGGTGAGGCCCCACCTGGAGTGTTGTGTCCATTTCTGGGCTCCCCAGTAGAGGAAGGACATGGAACTCCTGGAGTGAGTCCAGTGAAGGGCGACTAAGGTGATTAAAGGACTAGAGCATCTTTCATATGAGGAAAGGCTGAGGCAGCTGGGCCTGTTCAGCCTGGAGAAAAGGTGACTCAGAGGGGATCTAATTAATTTTTAAAAGTATCTAAAGGGAGAGTGTCTAGAGGACAGGGCCAGACTCTTCTCATTGGCACCCAACAATAGAACAAGAGGCAACGGGCATAAACTGCAGCATAGGAAGTTCCTCCTGAACATAAGGAAGAACTTTACTGTGAGGGTGACTAAGCACTGGAACAGGCTGCCCAGAGAGGTTGTGGAGTCTCCCTCCCTGGAGATATTAAAAAACCGTCTTGACAAAATCCTGGTTCATGTGCTCTAGGAGTCCCTGCTTGAGCAGGGTGGTTGGACTAGATGACCTTCAGAGGTCCCTTTCAACCTCAGCCATTCTGTGATTTTAAGAATGCAGCAAAATCTTTCACAGAAAATTATTCAAGAGGCTTACTCAAAATTTCAGACTAGAGTGCATCAGCACACCTGATGCATGTCAGAAAGTCTGGATGAAAAACAAAGAAAAAAGACCCATCTCCATATCACACCAAGTTCTCTGCAACTGCACTGTATCCTCTCCTGCAGTTCGTGATAGAAATTCAACACACAATTGTCCTGTGCCAACCCACAGTGTTACCCTGTGGTGAGGACAACTTGGAACAGTTGATCCACATCCCCTCAGGAGACAGCAAATGCAAAGCTGTACAACCTACCTCATGTTGAATTGCTTTGAACTTGCTACATGCTAAGAGGAGACATATAGTTACCTTGGCTCTTGTGATGTGCAATAACTTGATTAATGAAACAACCTGATCATGGTTCTCAAAACATCAGCAATTTACTGTTGTTGGTCAGTGACCACCAAAGTATTTTGCTGTATGGATGTTCTATTCGGTCAGCAAATAATAAGGAAGTTCCTCTTCACATACCCATGTCTTTAATGGTTTCTCCTGGTAGCAAAGGTGGCTCTTCCATTTCAGCCAATTTATTAGTCTCCCTCAGGACCTGGGGAAAAGATAGAGGTAGAAAAATAAATTCATTATGTTTTCATAAACCAAGAAGTTTACACTTACCTGCAACAGGCCAACAATATCAAGAACAACAAATATTCAAAGATCTTGAGGTACTGCCTAGTGTCTCAGCCTCTGAAAGCTCAACACAAAGCATGTGAGAGACCTCGGTGCAGCCCTCGAGCACGTCACTGGGTTGTGCAGAAGTGTTTAAAGCAAGGATGTCTGTGATGGAGAGGCTGTACAAAGCAGCTTGCATGCTTTGGCAGCACACTTCCCAGGTGGCTGCCTTTCATGCTCCAACCTTCTCCTTCCCAGCCCATCATCACAAGTCAAACTCCCTCACAGCTACAATCAAACAGATCAGTTTCTTTCCCAGTCAAAGTTATCAACTATTCCCATGATGCTATCAACTATTAAGGAGAGCAATTTCCAGTTTACATTGAGGAAAGTTCAAAAGGACACCTTGTCACACCACTGTCTTCAATGAGGATCTGATAACTGCAATCTGATCTGATTCAGTAGTAGTGACTTGTTACGAGGGTTCTGTTTTGATAGGCATGTACAGGAGTTGCAGTCTTGAGGTTCTGGGGTATTTTTTTGGCAGCCAAATGACCCCTCCTCCACTTTCCCTTGGGTTAAAGTTATACCACAGGGCATTACTTTTCAAAGATGTGATTGCATTTACACAAGGGTTTGCACAAGAACAGCTGCTACCATGAGCATGGACATTTTAGGAAAGCACAGCTGTAACTATGAAAGCATAACCCAAGGTCTAAACTTATGGTAAGAACTAGGGGAGAAAAGCACATTTAAGTGACCAAGATGAAGGCTAAGTCTGTGTGGCTGAACACAGATGGATTTAATCATATTGCCCATGCCTTGAACTGGCCAAATGACCACAACCACAGCAGCACACCAGCTGCTCAACCTAATAACACAGAGAGAGAGAGAGAGAGCAGGTAAGTTAGTCCAGACTTTGCCTCATGCGGTAGCAACCACAAGATTCTGGGTTTAACGTTGGTGTGCATCCCACCTGGTGGAGATAGACAGAGAAAGCTCATGTCTGCTCACAACTGAATGTCACCCAAAATGCTTTCTTTATCTTAATGTAAAGGAAGAGAAATAATTGTTTTAATTTGATACCAGGAAATCCCTGCAAAGAAAATTCAAAGACATAGCCTAAAGTGGCACTCTAGAACATGACACATTTGTGGTCAGCTTTCATGTAGGATCAAGCCAGAGGGAAGAAAAAAAAAATCTCTAAACTATGCAAAAAAATGAAAACAAAAACCAAAGAAACCCTACACCACAGTAAAAGCTCATTCCAGCATTTTCACACAACAGATTGATGTATAGATGAAAAGATTAGTAAGATCAAAGCCTTCTTGAGAGTAAGATGTAAATTTTTTTTCAAAAAAAAAGCATTCAAAAGACACTTTAAAAAATAAAGTAATAAAAGCAAGCATAGTCCTGACTTCCTAACAGGAACCTCACAACTGCAACCACTTTGGGCAGCCCTTAGCATGGAGGTTGCCAGAGCCTGGGGTCTACAGGACGAGTGAAGGGAGGTCACCATGGGCAGAGCTCACACTGCCAGCACTCAACTTGCAGTAAAGCTTCTCCTCCCTCACATCAGCAATACCAGTAAGAACAGGGTTTTGCTGGTATAACTAGCAGAAGTCTATGCTGAGGACTTCTTGTCAGCACAGCTGTGTTGGCCAATGATCACACATCCCATCAAAGCCCTGACTGATGGCCTCCCTGACAAAGCCTGTGATGTAGACCCGCTCCCAACTCCTGTGTGTCAGCTTTTGCACTTGAGTAACAGCCTTGAAATTAGCAGGATAACATCTGGATTATGCCAAATGAAACAGAGGTTTCTGGATAATTAGTCCGTAAGTGGTGGTCATCTTTGTAGCCTTTCGTCTTGGAAGGACATAAGTAAAAACACACTCTGCATTCGGGACACAAACACAACTTCTTTGAGAAGGTCCATACTCCAAATGGGCAGCAGCTGCTGCTAGGGTCACTTCGGTCAACAGCTGGACTCGCTGCTCAACTGCAGATGTCAGGAGAAGCACGTCCAGCAGTAAACATTTGGAGGACTGGGTTATATATTAAGCCAAAACAAATATGAAGATACATAGAAAGCATTCGGTGTGACAAACAGCTGCCTTAATCAGTAGGTGGGCAGTGCTCAGGTGGGTTTTAAACACTGTACTGCAGGTGGGGGACAGAAGGAGGGAAGAGGCAAGCAGTATGAAAGACAAAGACCTCCATGCCAACACCGTTCTGCTAAAGACGAGGATAATAAGACCTTGAAAGCTTTTCTGGTTTAAAAACTGGCTCTTCTAAGTCTAATAAAATCCATCTGCTCACTCGCACTCCCCGAAATGTGGCATCCCCAGGGTCAAAGGAAAGGATCAGTGATCCATATCCACGCTCACTTCAACACAGAGCAGCAGATGGATGGCCTCCTGGAAGCACAGCACTTCAAGGTCAACAGCTTCTGCCCCCTTGCCTCCCTCCTCCCTAGCCCTTTTTTTTTTTTTCCCTCTTTCTTTTTTTTGGTACAGAGTTGAGGACTAAACTGCCATTTTCCCCATCCCCCAACCGACCTCAACCACACAACCTACCTCAGGTAACACAGCACCGATCACCTTCATGATGTTTTCAAAGTAGGCACAAGCACGTCACCCCTGGATAACAGTCACCCTTCCCAAAAGGCTGAGACAGACATGGTCAGAAAGCCCAGGACACACACTTCTCTGGTGTGCTGGTCTTTGCAGTATCTGCCGAGCTCTAGACCTTAAACAAACCTCCTAGTTGGAATGTGAACACTTGAAACCTGTCCTGGCAGGAACCAAGAAATGAATGGTAGGCATTTCCCTGAAATCCGCCTCCATCAACAGCTCCTTAAAACTGATTCAGGGAAATGCAATCTGCGTGCAGCTGACAGTGCAGGCAGCAGGCGCAGGAGAAGACATCTGGGGCAGCACTAAAGCACAGGAGGTTGCAGGAGGGAGGAAAAGTGGGTGGATAAGGAAAGAGGAGTTTTGGAAACAGATCAGTGGGAAGAATGGGATGGGACAATGCACATGGAGCTCTGGGAGTACACTAACAGCGTAGATGGACCCTTTGCCCTTTATGTGACTAAGGAGATGACACGAAAAGCGCCTCCATCTTACTGCCATCCTCCCCTCCCCACCCCAAATCAAACAATGGTTCATTAAACTGTCAGAAAAATCTTTTTTTGTACACTACCCTATTTTCAAGACTCTAAAAATAACACTCCTGGGCCACATTTAGCCCTTTGCAAATCTTGCAAAACAAAATTAGGAGCTCCAGTGAGGCACAAAAGCAGGTAGGGGAGCCAGGGACACGGCTGCGGCAGCCCAGCCAGTGACGTCTGGCTCCTGATGCATTAACGCGATTGAGGCAGGTACCATCCACATCTGTAACCAAAATGTTCCACCTCTGTGTGCCTCGGTTTTTTAAATTGTTCAGTGGGAACAAAAGCAAAGGGTGCTTTGAGATCTGCAATGAAGGTCACAGAGCTGGGCAGAATCAGCACCACTTAGGAACAGGACAATGTTGACATCAAGACACACACGGGCCGTACTGGTCACAACCACCACTGAGATGGTTTCTGTAAGAAACAAATGCAACCACCAAAAAGTGGTAGACTACTTTGACTTGCCTGTAAGCCAAACAAGGTTTTTGTTATCTTTTCCCCACCAAAATGTTATGCTTTGTAACTGAATCTCCTGGGAAATTAAGAGTTTAGTTACACACCAGAAAAACCTGTATTTCTGTCTTCTTTTACCGAGTAACATAATCTACCCGTTCCACCCATCAGCAGCTCTCCAGGACACTGAGCACAGGACTACCTGAGTACCTAAACACGAGTCCTGCCTCAGCTCTGAGAGGATGTGAGGACTTCATGCCACCACCTACCTTTGTTCTCTGATCAAACAGCGACTTGGCAGAACAAACCCACACTTGCTACATTTAACAACTGCTTCTCTGACTCCAGGATCCCACCTTGTGTTAGCTTCAGCCCACTTACCCATGGCTGACAGTGCAGAGTTCTCTCATGCCCTCCCACCTACAGCACCCAAGGCAGGAAAGCCCTGATGCTGTATTCTTGACACAACCTCCAGACCTCAGCAACAAAACTATTATCTCCTTTGCTTGCATGTATGGGGCCAGGGAAAGTGGTTCAGATCCAGCTAAAAAGGTAAGACTGCGCCCTGCCCCATCCCTTACCTCTTCACTCTGTGATTCAGGACACTGCAGTCCTACCAAGCCTCTCCTACCATGTGTTCACATTGTCTCCTAACACAGCAGCCAGCATGTGCTCCAGCCCCTCTCCTGATTGCTGTCTCTGCACAGCTCATGCACGTAGCTTGTTCTGAGCGGCCATAGCCAGCCCAGGGTGGTACGGAGCTTACATGATGTCCTGGTTTTGCCAGGATAGGGTTAACTTTCTTCTTAGAAGCTAGAAAGCACCGTGTTTTGGTTTCAGTGAGGATTGTTACAAGAAGAAATGTTGATAACATACAAGGACACTGTGCTTGGGTAGTTTGCAAGAATAGAGGACTGGAAAGGGTGGGAGGGGAAGAAAAATGTAGTAGTCAGTAAAACCCAGAACTGACAGTTGGATGTGCCAATAAGATATTCCATATCATATCACGTCATGTTTAGTATATTAACTGGGGCTGACCGGAAAGGGGGGAATTCTCTCAAGAACTGCTCAGGTTCACTTTTCCAGGATTGCAATTTCAGTTTCAGAGTTCCTTTTTGCTCCTCCGGGATCATTATCAGTGGGTGGTGAGCAATTGTACTCTGCATCACTCATAATATATAGTTGTTATCATTATTACTCTTATTATTATTATTTTAATTTTATTTTTATTGTAATTATTAAATTGTTCTTATCTCAACCCACAAGTCTCCTCACCTTTACCCCTCCAATTCTCTCCCCGATTCCCTCCCTGGGTGAGGGGGGAAGGGGGTGGGATGCTGCGAGTGGCTGTGTCGGTGGGATGCTGCGAGTGGCTGTGTCTTGTTTGGCTGCCAGCTCAGTTAAACTATCCCAGTTGCACCATAACTCTAAGTACGGGGTCTCAGAGGTCTGAGCATCGCTGAACACTGCTCCAGAAGGACCCAAGAGGGTGCATGAAACTCTCTATTCAGGGTTTGCTTTTGCCTGTGAACAAAACAACCGATATGTTTTCCTCTGGTATTGCCTGAAAGGCGTTTGCCTGCCAGCAGAGCTGCACAGCCAGCATCACAACACACCCTGCGCTGGCTGAGGCTGAGCCAGGACTGCCTCCTCCCACCCCATCTGCCAGTGCTGCCACCACTCCTGTATTGAGCTCAGTCAAGATGCCTTGATTGTCCGCTTAATGGCTTTGTTAATGGATGTTTTTCCATATCCATTTTGCCAGGACTGGCTTTGGGTGTGACTACACAAGTTGTAAACCCAGGTGAGGGCCGGAAAGCAGCTGGGAATGCCTAGGGACAATAACTTTGTCCCTGGACATCAACATCTGCAGCACAAACCTCCAGATAACAAAGATGCATGAAGAGAGCACCTGAGGTCCCTCCTCGCCATTTTCCAGTTGTTTTCTTCTACTTTCTCCCGAATACTTGAGTCCTGAAACCCACAGGCAAAGAAAGGTCAGCTTTCTTGGCTTCATGCAACTTCAGGAGAGACTACAGGTTTGTGTTACCCAGTTGCTGGCTAACAGTTTTCCCAAGTCAGCATAGATTCTTCCATCCTGAATCACAATCAAAATGAACAAAAAGAACCTTTATTTAGTTTAGACAAAATTAAAATGTATCCCTTTTTGTGATTCCTCCCCCCCTCCCCGAGTTAATCTCTCCTTGGTAACCTCCTACACACTCCATTTTGCAAATTTGGGACAGATTTGTTACCCATAAAGCCACGGCACTGGTGCAACATCTCCAGTCCAACACCATGACCACCTTGCTCGTGCATTACTCCTTACCCCAAAACCACGTCTGCCCCAGCTACTGAAAAGACAAGCTCTCCAGGCTCGGAGCTGCTTTTGTTCCAGCTACAGACAGTCCTGTTCTGCGTCTCCTACAGCAGGAAGCTGGTCTCTTAAGTGATCCCTTGACATAAACATATATAACCTGTCTGTACAGACAAACATTATACACACACACACACAAAATCCCTCTGCATCTGCAGCCCCTGAACCCACGGGTTTGGCACGTCTACCTCATAAGCATGCACTGGACATCAGCAACAAGGGGGATATACACTGTGGGGACACTGTGCATGTTGTACCTGTGTGTGTGCAAGAATATACACACTGAATTAGCAGATTTTAAGAATATGTAGCTTTTCAAATTATGGGTGAAATATGGATTTGAAATTCAACAGCCAAGTGACAGGTTTTAGCTCCTTCAGGAAAATACTTGTCTGATACTTCACATTTTAATGGACTACCTGGGAATATTCTGCTTGTACTTAAGGTATCTAAACTTTCCTCCCCATCTTGTTTTTCAAATGTCTTTCTCTCAAGGACTGGCACATGATTAAATGCCCTCCTGAATCAGCACTCTTGCCACTCTGCAGGCACGGTAGTCAGTAAACTGCAGGAATATTCATTTCATCTAAAACTGGAGATCTACATCTGAGCTACAGTCACTGGAAAGCAGGAGACCCAGGAGATTCACCTGTAGGATGAGTGCCTTTCTTCCCACCGAAGGCTAAGAACTAGGGTAAGTAACTCCAGTGCAGATTTGGAAGGGCTAATCCCATCTCTGGTGCTTCACCGTGGCCAGCATAGCAATGCTCAGTCTCCTGGACATCCCAATACACCTGAGTAGTCACAACCTGTACTCTGCAGAGAAGTTCCCTTTGCAAAGGGCATCCAGTTCTGGGGCCCTCACCATGAGAAGGACATCAACCTACTGGACTGAATCCAGAGGAGGCCACCAGGATGATCCAAGAGCTGGAGCACCTCTCCTATGAGGACAGGCTGAAAGAGTTGGGGCTGTTCAGCCTGGAGAAGAGAAGGCTCCAGGGAGATCTTATAGTGGCCTCCCAGTACCTGAAGGGGCTACAGGAAGGTGGGGAGGGACTTTTTACAAGGGCAGGGAGTGACAGAACAAGGGGAAATGGCTTTAAACTGAAAGAGGGTAGGTTTAGATTAGACATTAGGAAGAAGTTCTTCACTGTGAAGGTGGTCAGACACTGGAACAGGTTGCCCAGAGAAGCTGTGGCTGCCCCCTCCCTGGAAGTGTTCAAGGCCAGGTTGGATGAGGCTTTGAGCAACCTGATCTAGTGGAAGGTGTCCCTGCTGATGGCAGGGGGATTGGAACTAGATGATCTTTAAGGTCCCTTCCAACCCAAACCATTTTGTGATTCTATGACTCTAAGTCCTAAGTTACTCTGTGTAGAGTGGCAGCAGGAGATGAGCCAGGTCAGATCAAAAAAATTGCATTAACTTCATTAAAACAGGCATGACTCCAAAGCTTCTAGGACAGGTCTTATTATCTGAGTCACCAGAGACAGCTTTTGGGTCAGAGCTGTCACCTTTTTGCTGTCTCAGAGAACAACATGAGGGAGGTCAGCCTTTCTGCAAAAGCTTAGCCATAGGATTATTTTTACGTACTTGATTTTTTAAAATTTATTTTATTTGTAAATCAAGAGCACAACATGTACACTTACATAAGCAACGTTTTTCTCCTTTCAAATGCATCAGACCATGTTCACCTATTCCTTCCCCCAAACTGCCCTCTCACTCCACCCCTTTCTTCTTTCATGGCTGTTGCCATAGAAGTCAATCAAGCAAGGACAGTGCCACTATGGCAGGGGTATCAAGATTTATCACTACCCCAGTGATGGTGTAAAAACCTCTGAAACAAAACAGATACAGAAGCTCTTTCCATTCACCTCAGGAAAAAACAAACCATGAAGGTCTACTTCTGTACAGCTGATGTTGACAGAAGCTGCAGAACTGACATTAATTTGTGGAAAATCAAGACCTGTATGCTTATTTAGGATAATTTTTCAAAAGTGCATTGGTTTCTTCTCCAAAAAACGTTTCTTACAACAGGAAAAAGGCACATTTTTCTAGCATTTTGCTGCTAAGATGATTCTGTCTTCTCAATGCTCAATTAGAAAAAAACCCCAGACTAAACAAAACGGGAAACAGTAGTCATGCTTACTGACAAATCCTCCTGTAGACTGCAAACACTGTACTGCTTTGGAGAGATTTGTCAGCCGTCCTTTATGGCTATTTCAAGTGTACTCTGAGAAGATTTATGTGCTATGTATCCTACTGGAAATGCAATAAAACATAAATTGAGCAATTAAATGGACTTTGTTGATTATTTTTGAATCATTAGGAATGCCACAGGAGAATGACTACGGGAAATAACAGCAGTATCTCTGCATGACTGAGGTACAAGGTCTTTTCTAAGGATTAAGACCAGATAGGTTGAAAAACCATGTTAGAGACATTCAGATCAGCAAGATATAAAGCATTTCCTCGAAATTAATATCTTATTCTTTTGGGATATTAGCAGTTCAAAGGGGAAAGACAAAACACCATAGACATGTGGATCATTTTAGAATAGTATACAAATTGAAATACACTATCCAAAGACCACATCAAGCCCATTCAGCTCCTGAGAAAGCCCTCAGCCAAAGAAGGTCTCATAGCTTGTTTAAAAAACAACACAAGAGGCATTTAAGTTATCAACAAAATGTTCTGATAACAGACCACCTATTACACTGCTCTAAAGACAATAATCACGTGCAGTGTGCACTGCAGCTGCCTTTCCTGACACAACTGAAACAACAAATCACAAACTGTGATCTCCACCTACCATATATATTTTGAGAAAGTATAAAAAGGCTTGAGAAATCACTTACCACTCTCTTGAAAATCTTTAAAAAGAAGTTGAAGATTAGTGTATTTAAACAAAACCAACACAGTCACCAGGGTAATATAAAGGGACTCCTCTGCAGGAGGAAGTAGCCACCACACAGTGTTTCTCTGGGACTTTCTGCTTTGTTTCTTCCACCATGTACTTCTCCACTCAGACTTGAGTGCCCAGTGATGAAGAACAGCCTCTCTGAGCTGGTGAATCTCCTGGGCCCTTGCTGCACAAGTACAAGGCAAGGCTTAGAAGCTCAAAGGAACACATTGTTGAGGGTCACTCGTTCAACCACGGCTGGCTTGTCTCTTCAAGTTTGTGTGGCTTGGTGAGACAATTCTCTCATTAGGCTCCAATAGAATTGACTCCACACAGCAACGCTCCCTGGCACAGAAGGTTGTAGACATTATCTATTCAGACAAGTCCAACATTTTTTTAATACAGAACCTTCTTCAGTGCCAAGGGTTCCACATATGTCTCAAATGACAACGGTTCTGTTCTCCACTGGCTGCTCAGAAACTCTGGGCAGCATATTAGCCTGACTATCCTTTCTTTATTTTTACTGTATTTTGTTTAGCAAACAACTTATATGGGGAAAATGAATTAAAATTTTCAAGGAAAGCATTAAGCTAATTAGGTGAAGTTTAAGTAGTAGCAGTAGTAAGTAAGTAGTAGTAGTTCAGTCTTAAATAGCAGAAAAACACTCTGACCAAAGAGAGTTATAAATTCCACCAACTAAACAAGCCACATAAATTTCACTTTGGAGTTTAGTGATATATAAGATAGGGATTCAAGATACAAGTAATTATATATTTACAAGGAGTAAACAATCACACAGAGGGGAACAAAAATGTTTCATTCAGTGCAAAAACACCTACAGAAAATCAAATCTTCGCAGGTACTGCATGCAGTCACAAATCCGTGTGCTCCTTTTAAATACCATGCTTGTTCATTCCTGCCTGATCTGTGCTTCAATCTAGAAACTATAACTATAGGGGGGACGGGGAGAAGGAGAGGGGGGAAAAAAGCCACCTCTTACCCAGTTTTAGTCAGCAAAAGGAGAATTCTTGCACTTTGTAGCTAGGAGAAATACGGCAGTCGATTAGGAAGAGCTGAAAATATTTTTGAGGAACACATGAGGGCCATTTGCTTATTCTTCTTAGTCTTCCATTCCTAATAGATGGCAATCATAAACACTTCCAGAGATTTCTTTCACTGTGCATTACTTCATATTCAAACATTCAGGTACCTCTCTCTACATAAGAAAAATTAGCAATGCTTGCTGTCTTTGCTCTCTTCTAACTAGATGAGCACTTAGGGGAGTATTATTTCCATGTAAAGGAGACAGAAAACTGACTGCATCTGGCTTTTTCCCCTGTCTAATTTGCATGAAATCAATACTTTGCAACTCAGAGGTTGGCTACTCTGTTCTTTTTCCTTGAAAGGGGGAGGTGCAGAAAAAGACTTTAGTGGGGAGAGGTACAGGGAGGGGACCAAGATTTTCTATCTTTTAGGACTTAAAAAGATTGCAATTCTCATGAAATAAATAACATTTACAGTCATGGAAACTGTAGTCCTAGAAAAACATGGCAATGCAAGGGCTAAGTTCCAGTCGCTCACAGGGCTGTCCTGGAATGACCACACTTATGAACAAGGGCATCATTCATTTCCAGAACCAGCCCTTTGTGCCTTTGTTCATCAACAGCTTAATGTTCTAAAGAAGAAAGGAAGCCCGTTTCCCAGAGACAAACATGCAACTCGTATGTTCAAAATCAGAATTTTGAGATAGTAAGTATATTTTTTTCCCATAAGACCTTCCAGCTTCTCCTCTGCTGCTCTTTAAGTCCCTCTACTTGATACCTTTAATAATGTAAAGCATTGCCCGTTCTTGGATTTAGCCCCAGTTTCATCCCTGTGTGTGAAGGGATCTGTGGAAAAGCTACATGCAGATCAGGTAAGGACTACTTCTGCCTATGCAGAATGGTTTGGGTTGGGAAGGGATTATTAAAGGTCATCTAGTCCAGCCTCCTGTACACTCATAAAAATGTGAGGTGCACCTCCATGTGAGAACCTAACTGAGCCCAAAGCGATGACACAGAGAAACACATATGGTCAAGTCTTCACACAGTGACAGTAAAAAGATGAACTGTTTATTTAATTTCACTGCTGTATCACCAGTTCACATCTAGCCACGCCTGTTGTGACCACAGGTCAATTATCTTCACCATCTGGTGGCTTGTGCATTGTGGTCTGTAATTTAATAGCAGTCACAGTCCAGTGCACTGGAAGGAAAGCTCACACCACAGAAGACATCTTTGCATTTGCTATGAACTAGTCTTCTTACAGACAGCCCCATGCAAAGAGTCAAGGGCCAGTCCAAAGCAGGAATACTTATCCCTGTGTATCATCAAGCGAGGGATGGAGCCGACTGGCAGGGCAGAGAGTCTTCAACTACCCTGGAGGTGCTTAGGTAGAATTTATTTCATGATTTAGTGCTTCCAAGATAGCATCATTCACTAACTGAAAAGTCTCTTAAAAATAAAACTAAAAAACATTGCTTAAATGAGTACTTAAAGTTTACAAAGTTATGCTGCTCTCTAAACCCAGCTCTTGTCGAACATGTGTTACACATAACCGAAGCCTGACACACTTCCTGCGCTGGCAGGGACAGAGCCGTGGAAAAGCTCGCTGAGGCTGGTTTCAGTGATTTACAGCAAAGGGTGGGGGGACAGGGGGGAAATCACATCTTTCTTCAATATGTTTTTCTACTAACAATATACATGTTCTACATAAAACTAGTCTAAGCCACTTTGCACTAAAGCTAGAATAAAGTAACACAAAGGTGGCAAAGTCAGTGACTGGCATTACTGTTAATCCTGCCCAACATCACCTGAGGGACGGGATTTACCTCAATTGTAGAGGTCAACATCTGGAGAAACTACCCTGAACTCTCTTTATAGTCAGAAGAGAAACACAGCAGGTTTTCAAATGAGACAAAACTGCACCATACTGGAGCACAGCTAAAGCTGGGATCCACTCTGAGAAATCAGTTGCTGACCTTCAAATAAAGTTCACAACATCCTGCAGCAAGGACTCCTCCAGCTGAGATACATGATGTTCTCACCTAGCATGGGCATTTCCTTAAAGCTGAGATAAATCCGATCATAAATGACCTATTTCTTCCCACTGACTACAAAGGAATTGTGGTTGCTAGCTTGAATACAGGCTTGCTCAAACAGATTTCATCCAGGAAAACTAAGGAGACAGCGATGGAATCCATTTACTGTCTTGGAAGGAGAAGACTCTTTCATTCACCTCTTGTCATGCACTAGTTATGTATCTTACAAAATAAACCACACAGGCTTGTCTACAGTCACCAACCATGCACACAATGGATAACAAATTAAGGTTACACAAACAACTCTGTTTCTTCCCTTTTCTAATCTTCCGGTACTGGGCATGCTATGATGATGTTCTTGCATCTCATGTATAAACCCACTGCAAATCCACCAATTCCTTGTATACTGACAGAGAAAATTACTCTGGTAGGAGCAAACCATCGTGGAGGATGGGACACATGCTTGTACAATATTTTGCTGGACCTCAGAGGAATATCAGGAATTGTAGATCTTAATGTTGTCCTCAAAGGGGAGAATGGTTTAGTGATCACAAACAGTAACACCAAGAACAACGATTTGAACCACTTTTCTGAAGGCTGCACAACTCAGCAGGTGAGACACGGGTCTGCTGTACTGGTTTTCTCTGTCTACAGAACGGAATAGAAGCAAGAAGCAACATAGTAAAGCCAAAACATGAGTTTCCATCCTCTGGCTCAGGCTTTTGCTGTATATAATCCAAAACCAAACACAATGGACCTTAACAAATTTTCAGGCAAAGGTACTGCTCTTAAGAGAAGCAGCAGCAGGCTCCCCTGGCTGTATTCACTGCTTCCCAACTGCAGATGGAGAGGATACAACCCTTTTATGACAGCTACTCCAAAGCTTTGAACGCAGTAAACTTCAGGCATTATCCTGTAATTCAATAGCTAACTCCAAATGGAAGTCCCTACTGATAAAAGCCAGGGTACTAGAAGAAGACTTGAGAGAAGTACTATAAAATGCACAGACATATCTGCCCAGAGGTACAGGAGAAAATACCACCTACAGGATTTAGGAGCAAGAGTCTCACTGTACTTTAATAACCACCAAGTTCCCAGATCTGTAAGAGATAATTAGGCAACTCAGTCCCTTTGGCAATGTTGGCTCTAAGGTGTTTTTAAAATCTCATCCCAAATTACAAAGTATCTACGAATTTCAGCTAATTTTTACTTCCAGCTACTTCTATTCAATTCTATTCTTGCCTGATCTACAACTTGGGTTAAAACATATGGCAGTGTATTTGCCAAAAATTACCTCAAAAAGTGCATTCCCTAAATCAATTCTAAACAGCTTCAGATTTGAGATCAGGAAGGGGGTGGAGGAGAGAGCCTAATAGTGCTTTGTTGTTTTTCTGTTGGGGTTTGGGTTTTTTTTCTTGAAGGCTAACTTCTTTCATGAAGCTAACTGAAGCAGCCAAAAGTTATTTAGAGTTAGTTTATGAAGTGAAAATTCTATAAATTGTAGTAGAAAGGTAATTTAATCTTAGTTCCAGATTTTGAAATGCTCAATATACATTAAAAAAAAAAAAAAATCCCTTCATAAAGGTTATTATTAAACACCTTGGGGAAAGATTTAGGAAAAATACTGCACATGGATTCAGTAGGAATCCCCAGTGGTTGTCTCATTTACCTCATTACACACATGCACGCACACACAGAGTGTTAATTGCACTGCAAAAGAAAACTGCAGGCACAGACTGCACAAAATGATGTGGGTCCTTCCTCTGGTTCCCTCCTCCTGATGGACGCCTACTATTCTTCTAAAAATTCCCCACAGAAAAAGAGAGTGCTAATTGTAGCTATCACAAAGTGTTTTTCCATCGTCACAGAAATTTAATTCCTAAATTTGAATTGATGCACACGCAGAGGTAAAGACCAAGTAGAGGTAGGAGTGATGATGGATCCACGTAACAATTCATCCTAGCAGGGAAAATTTACATCAAGAACATAATCCCATTATTGGCAGATCCACTTCAAAATCTTTAAAAGCTTATTTTCAGCCTCTTAAAGCCAACTGATGCAATACCTTCCTGCGAGAACACCCTGTAGCCCAGGCACTCGTCTCCCATACCACAGTTACCACAAAATGCATTAGTTCCCACTTCAGGGCTTATTCTCTTACATTTCTCCAGGAACAATGAGGGACTTCTTTCTGTCCTCAGAAGTAATAAGGTGCTTAGCTCAAACCTCAGTACCTGTTAAGACTTGGGAGTTCATGCTGCCTTGTGCCAATCAAAGCTGCGCAAGAGGCTCAGGCGTGTAAGGAAAGGGCTAGAACAGAGAACATGCTCATGCCACTGTATCGGTTAATGGTATGACCTCATCCGCAATATCAAAGGCGAGGCCACATCTCAGAAAGATCAAAGAAAATAGTAAGAGCAATCAGGACCTCGAAAAATCTCTCACAGAACTGACTTTAAAAAAGCAAACCAACTTGCAGAACTGTCAGATGACAGAGATGTTAATTTGGAGAAAACTGGACAAAGAATGATAAGCTCAGAGGGAGGACGTCTGTTCACCTTGACTCAAGACCTGAAAGAAAGTGGTGTTAGCCGATTACCACCCATCATAAATCTGCCATTTAGGAGCTAGAACTAGGCTCCAGGAGCAAGCCTAGGGAGCAACCAGTAATGCACTAGCACTGACAGCATTTGATTTGAGGACAGCTTATGGGACTGCAGTTGCACTGGCAAGACCAACACAAGAGGTTGTCCACGGGTAGAGGACAGATCTTCATCCCACCTCCCAGGCTTGTTCTCCAGCATCAAACGCTCTCAGGAAAGAAGAGAGAAATGGTTAATGCATTCATTCCTCTAGAGACAACTGCACTGCAGCAACTCATACCACCTCTGCAACAGCAAGCTTTAGTAGGACAATAGGAATGCATTTTCTCGAGGTCTGCTTACCACTGACAAGCAGTCACTCAAGCGTAAAGGGAAGAACCAGGCTTATGCCTACACACAACTGCACTGCAGCCACTCATACCACCTCTGCAACAGCAAGCTTTAGGTGAAGCACCTGTAAATTTCAGGTTTACACTGAATTCAGGCCCCACAGAGCTGATGCAGGTTAAGAGCAAGAAGCATTTTGCCAGCAGAGGGACGTGCTCACACTTGGCCTGCAGTGCCTTTATTCTAAGTAAGTAATCCTCTGCTTTACCATTGCTCCTTAAACACTATTCTAAAAT